TCGCGAATTACTTTACAAATGCCGACCTCCATAAATGGATGCCGTATAGAAGCTACACCTAGGACTATTGTCAAACAGGAGTCATATTAAAAATAAAACCGAGAAAACCGTTTTAGAAGAGTTGCTTACTAAACTTAGGTTTGTGTAACTTTCAGTCCGTTTGAAAAAGTCAATGTAGGGAAACATAAAACTGGCCTTACTTGAAGGTAAAGGACCATACATCTGAGAGTAAAATTCTACGAGCAACTGACGTTTAATTCATGCCTTACTATCGTATTTTATGTGACAGTCACCATCAGAGCATGAAACTATCAGTTAAGAAAAGTAAGCCAAGAAAGTTTGCTAAATATGCTCCAACTTGCTTCTTATCACTCAAATGTGTCCACTAAATAAATAACCCCAAGATTTTGTTGGATATTTCCTGCCTATAGGTATAGGGGCTATGGATAAAATGGGTATAAGCTATGGTTGTATGAGTTCAATTCGATTATCCTTCCCAGTCACCTTTTTAATCGAAATTAAAGGTACATTAACAAGAGTCTACCTTAGTTTTTGAATCCTTTAAGCTCAAATTTTGTAAATTAATATCGGTTCTATGACATGTTAATTATATTTACCAATGACAACATGGTAAACGTTTGGCCAGAGTACTGCAAACCTTTTAGGCAATAGAAAATATAATATTATCTTGCGTTACTTGCTATTCCCGTCATGGTTGCAGCAACACTTGGAAAGCGTGTCTATACATATTTGACTAATATAGCAATAAATGCTGTTTTCACTAAAACTTGTCTCTAGTACAGCCTTATATCTTATTCATCTTCATATAAGGCGAAATTAATGTAATTGCTATATAGAAATTCTTCTAATATCTCATGCATTTAAGGAAGTTAGATTATTAATGCCAGAGCTGGCCAATCAAGTAGTTGGAATACGGCAAATTGCTTGATACCTTCTATGTCGAGTTGGCCGTTCTCATCCCTGTCGACCTCACAAATCTTTTCATCAATTTCCTTATCCGAATGGTACAGTCCCAGGCTAGTGAGAGTTGCCTTCAGCTCAGCAGCATCAATGAAGCCGTTTCCATCAGCATCCATCCTCTGAAAGGGGTCAACATTTTACGATTATGCCTAGTATGAGCAGATGCAAAAGTGCAATTAAAAGATTTTTAAAAGTTTAATCCCACAAATTGCATGAAAATAATTATTATTATTTGAGTCAGGTCCGAGTTTACGGGTTTAATTAAAATCACATTACTTCTAAACACTTTTTACCCCAATATGCATAGTTTGGCCTCAGTTACAAATTGACAGATTAGCTTCAGACTTGCTTAGCCTGAATCGAATCCTCTTTCAAAACTTATCTGCATTCTTATGGAGACAATGACACCAAGCAGCTTACGTATTTAAAGTTCTAAAATAGTCATAAAATAGGGTAATAAATACTGATAAAGCCCACAACTTGTGTGCCATTTGCGGTCTTTTGGGGATAATCAATGAATCTAGACTACTCCGAACTTTGCCATCAGGTTCTAAGCCTGAAAATAGGGTTATTTATGCTAGGACTTGATATGAGCTGAATGTTACCCGAAATCAAAATGAATGAATTAAAAACTTGCCTGTCGTGAAACACGAAGTAACCTAATATGTCTATAACTATAATCAAGCATAAGCACAGTTTGTGAAATGTGTTAATCCTTATTCATTAAAATGACGAAGGAATGGTAGCTCAATTATTTCACATTGAATGAATAGACCTTAAGTTTCAATTGGATTTCCCATCGCCTTACTTCCTAAAAGGTATTCTCATCCATGGTGGACTGCAATTTCGACTTCCTAGCAGGACTGTGACTCTGGCAGTGCGCATATAATCTAGACACGTTATCCACTACACCACACTGCCACAAGTGGCCTTGGGTAACAGGGCAAAAGTGAATTTGAAGGAAGGCCAAACATTTTCCCATATCACATTCTGTGTTGGCATTGTCGACGAAACAAAGTTATATTTGCTATAGCAATCGAATAAACTAATTATTTTTCGTTTATAAGTAGGTTTTCGAGTCTTCTACGAAATAGGATGGACTTATTTCAAATATATGATCCACTACTAGTCTCAACAACCTACTTTTAAACGTAAGTTAAGTAATGTAGTCGATTTCTATAGCAAATATAACTTTGCCTCACTGGTAATCCCACCACAGAATGTGATATGAGAAAATGCCTAGTCTTGCTAGAAATTCATAACTGCCCCGTGACCTAAGGACACTCGCGGTGAATTATAATAATTCTTAAAGAACGGTATAACATTGATTACCATAACTTGATGACTATAGGAATCGCGATGTCTGGGAGCTAACACAATATGGCTCATGAATTATCTTAATGGCATACAGATGTTGAGCTATTCCTTATACACGATAATGTTTAATGAATACACTAAATTCTATACTGACTCCAATAACGGATCACCTAACGGTCCCAAGTTCAGTCTGGATAGGCACACTTGATAGATATTTCGTTTGTAAGTAGGGTTTCAGGACTACCAATAAATCAAATATATGAGATGTCCCCACCCTATTTCGGTTAAGGTGATGGAAGACTGGTACATAACTAAAAAATAAGTAAAGTAGTAGATTGCTTTAGCAAATACAACTTTGCGCCATCGATAATCCCACTACAAAAGGTGATATAGGAAAACGTTTGGCCTTGTGACCCAAGAGCACTCGTGGCAAAGTGGCACAGTGATTGACCTATCTTGAGAATACGCTGCACTATCATGGATTAAGTCCCGCTGAAAGTTCTGAAGAAACCTAGGCGAGGTCGAAACTGCAGTCCATTCCAGTCGGGGTGAGAATACCTTTTGGGAAAGCAAAACTATGTAGAATTCAATAGCAACGTAAGTGGGAAAATTCATCATCTTAAATGAAATAGGGTGAACACATCTCATAAATATAATAAAAACAGAGGAAATATTTAACACGATTCGTCACTGTATTGGTCCTAAATTAACCCAAAATTATCTCTAATTACCGCTAGAATGCAAGCAGCTATATGGAAAATATTCTTATACTTTGGAAGATAGCGGAGTATCATATATGTGGACAGTTTATTGGATTGGAGAGGATATTCTTCTTCAGATCTAGCCTCTACTCCGTCCTGTCAACATTTATTTCAAAGAGCCAAATTTTCTGCAATATGGGCTACTGAGCCTGAATAGTTCATTCATCAAACACACCCCACCGTCTTAGTCTTCATAGTTTATCATTAGTTCAGGTTTTACGCTGCAATTCCACACGCTGGATGGGTCCTTGCCTTAATTAGGGTCATTTGTTTATCTCAGTAAGTAATCTTAATTATAGGATCAACGCCATTTACCTTACAGGTGCAGACACCTACATTTCTAAGTCTTTTCCAATTTGCTTATTTAATTTGTGATAATAAATTTTATATTGGCTTATATTGGATTAATTGACAACTTACCATAAATATTCTGCGAAATTCCCTCTCCTTTTCGTCTCTTGGACATTCCTTTGCTAAGCAAATGGACATTAATTTGACAAATTCTTTGTAGTCAATTTCGTTATTGCCTAATTTTAAGCAACATGCAAATAGATCAATAAAAATTAAAAATTGAATTTTTTATTAATGCATGTATTTAGTAATTTTTAAATATGGGAAATCTTTTTTTTCCATTATGATCTATTTATTACCAGTTAGACTATTTGGTCAATTATCCATCTACTCTCTAAAGAGCAACTCTAGTATTCGGCTATATTTGATTAACTCAGCAACAAAAAAAGATTTTTATTATGCACAGAGAGGACCGCAAG